GGGGGGGGGGGGGGGGGGGGTATATATGGCAATAAAAACATGGCAGACATGGTATGTATATGCAAAAAAGGTTATGCTTTTACATACACTTTAATTTGTTATAATAATATAACATTACCTCTCGGGTATGAGTGTGTTATGTAGTTGTACTCCCTGTCAGAGCAGCAGTGTCAGCTCAATGTGTGGCGGTGGGGCACCTATTGAGGTTCACCCATCTCCTGCTACTGGGTAGTAAAACAAATTTTAATTTATGACACCTTTGTCCTTTTTTGAGTGTCTCATTAGCCCTGAGCTCAGCCAGGGAATGAGATGGCCTTCCTGACACTTCTGCTCTGACAATTCAAACCATTTACACCGCTATAACAATTTAAAAGTAAGGCTTCAGATTACTCCAAATTCCCATTGGCAACTGGTGGATTTATTTAGGTGGATGTATAAATTACATTATGAAGTATTTTGGTTTATGGTATGTCCTTCTAAAACGAAAAAGCTATTATAAAGGAATGAAGAGATAAAGTTGTGAAGTGGATGACTATAACTGTACTTTAAAATTCACCTGTTTTTTAACTTTTTTTTTTTTCTGTCCCTCAGTCAGCAAAATTGGGAAAGCTGCCACCTTTTCTCACACTCTCTCTCCTGAGGTTTAACTTTGACTTCAGAAAGTGTGAGCGCTACAAAGAGACTTCACGATACACCTTTCCCACCCGGCTCAACATCCGGCCTTTTTGTGAGCAGGTTTGACTTTTTTTGTTCATCCACAAGTGTGGACACATTTTTCTGATATTGTCTGTCTTGCTAATAAACTGCTGAAAATGATCTTCATGTAGCTAAATTAAAGGGGGAGCCATAGTGTCATATTAGTAAAAGTAACAGTTTTATGGTATTTTAAAATGCTTACTGTGACTTGATTTTATGAGCGTATTTATACTGCTTTTGGGGTCTGTTAATCTAGTGGCTTCTTTGGCTATTACTATTTTATCGATTTTTCACAAGTGGATTTATAATTCCTTCATGTATTTATCAAAACACTTAAATACATATAGGAATGTACATATTCCTTGTTAATTAACATTGCTTTGTGTTGATGTTCAAGCTGCACGTTTCCATATCTTTACTTTGTAGCAAGACCTAGATGATGCAGTACAAATGTATGAGCTCTTCTCAGTTATCATACACAAGGGCAGTTGCTATGGAGGCCATTATCATGTCTATATCCAGGATGTGGATGAACTGGGATGCTGGGGATACCAGGTGATTATCTCTATTTTATTAATTATTATTAGCAATTTTAGTTTTACAATTGTCGGCGCACATTAGATGAAGTGACTGCAATGTTTCACACCACAATAGCCTAATATATTATCAAGATCATATGATCATTAAATCCAAAACCAGGTATGCAAAGCCTGGAAAAGGGGGGTTTTTAAGAAAAATTGTTGCTCTCACAAATGAACTTAATAAATATTAGAAATATATATTTATTTGTAGCAATGGATTAAAACCATGAATTGTGTTAAAAAAGACACAAAACTAATACAACAAAATGGTACAAGGTCCAGATACAATACAGTAAGATGTTGCAGTGGTCTGGTTGATAACAGGAAGATTAACACATGATGTTGTTCTTTAGGTGCCTCAACATGTTTCGCCATATAATGGCTTCCTCAGGAGGACTTCAATCCTAGAAGACTGCAACTTGTTACAGACCAACCAGTGAAAACGAACCAAATGGCAACAGAGGCAGGACCTCAAACCCCTAGACAAGTGTCACTGGAGGGGTATTTGATGTTTTGGACGGAGCGGACTGTTGTACCACTGGAGATTTGGAACATTGTCTAGGGACTTGAGGTCCTAACTCTGTTGCCATTTGGTTAGTTTTTTGCAGGCTGGTCCATAAAATAGGTGTTATCCCAATTTCGCTGCAAAAGTGGAAACACCTGAAGATAACCATGCCCTGTAGTTTTTTACATGCCTCCTAATTACAGACCTTTGTTACTGGGCATTTATGCAAACTCAGGCTGGGACACGGTGTTTAAGGTCAGGCTTGTGACAGCTGTCTGTTGTCCTGATTCTCAAGAGGAAAAGGCTAAGTAAGTGAAGCTTTATAAGGGGGCAAATGTAACTGGTTTTGTGATTTAAAATTTAACTGGGCATGCTTAAGAGTGTTCAGAATTTTGCATTAGCCTGCTTGCGTCTGGTTCCCTTTACGCATAATGTATTCCACATTTTAGGTAACATTGAAGGAAAACTACACCCAGTTTACTTAACACATTACAAAATAAAACTATAAGTTACTTTAGTTCAGTGATGTGTGCAAACCAAGGCTTTCCTGTTTCTATTCACTCTCGTGGTTTAAACTGAATTAAAAAAATACATTTTTGGACACAAAGGCAGAAGTGCTTGGCTCAGACTTGCAACTCTGTGGCTCTCCATTGGGTTTAGAAACACAGCGTGCTTCAAACAAACTGAAGTGTCTTTAAATGTTTGTTTTATTTTAACATCCTACAAAATACTGATTTAGGTTTGTTGGGACGTGTTTCATCATTGATTTGTACTTTTAGCAGGAAGAGAAAAGAAAGGTGGCAATGTCGGGGGATTCCGGGGAAGAACAAGACTGTCCTGCTGTTACACTTGCTGCTGTCATAGCAGAGGTATTTGCATAGCCGCAAACGTATCCATTTCTTGGAAATTGCTCTCGGGATGGGTGTTCAGCAATGTTTCTCAGATTATTCATTGCCTGTTCTTTTTGTTGTGATACTTTTTTTTCTTTATTCATTTGTGTCACAATATGTCAACCTCTGCTGATTTGCATGGCCTTGATACAAATTTCCTTTTTATGTTATTGCACACTCTTTATTTATATCCTGTATTCTAACCCTGCCTAATAATGTACCTTTAAAAGGCAAGCAAAGGGCAAAAGGCTAGTTATCAGTATTATCCGTAGGCTCCCTAAACCTGATCTTTTTTCTATTACTGACTTATCATTTCTTGTTCTGTACTGGCCCTCTGGGTGGAGGTGGTCCTCTTGGTGGAGGAAGGATGCTTTGCTCCCTCATGTCAGAACTGCTGCATTGATGACTGGTCATCTGATAACTGGTGGGGGATATCCAAGAAGCAGTAGGAGAGGTGTAGGAAGCACAGATCCACATAATGAATGAAGCAGAAGCAATCACAGGCAGCACTGCCTTTGATGGCCTTATACTACAGATACAGAGCTTTGGGGCTGTATGAACATGAGTGTCTAGGACCCCTTGCATACCAGGAAGTGCACTGCTGTTTTCTAGAAGAAATTCTAGACAAAAGGTACACTTTCAGGATGTAACTAAATAAAGTCTTCATGCACATGTTGCATAAGATGCTCCTCCATATATTCTCATAATCTTAATTTTCTCTACATTATCCTATATTAAATATCAATGTTTAATATGTACTCAGTGTTAAAGGCCCAATCTACCCAGAACATATATTTCAATTTTGCTAATGGGTTGAATCACCCATGCAGATACACAGCCAATGTTTACTAGGTACTACAGTGCTTGCAATTAAATGGTAAAAGTACCACATGGTAGATATAGAGAGGGAGAAATAAATAGTATGCAGTAGCAATCAATTAGAGCACCGTGGTGAGCAAATGTGGTTAAATGTTATTTCTTGGTACTTGTGTAGCTTACACAATGTGGAGCCACTTGTTTCATCTGTTTAGTGTATTCTCTAAAGTTTAGAGATTTATAACTAGTGATATTAGTAGAGTGTTTTTTTATACCAAAATTACCCTTGTAGTTTTGATCATAGAAATTCTAGAGTGAGATTTCTACCCATGACATTTGAACTTTACCCATTGTCTACTGCCGTTGCAAGGGTTGCTGTATTTTTCACTTATTTTCCATTATGGCGAAAGTTTCTCTTTGATGCTATAATTTTTACAGGGTTTTCTATCTTTTTTTCTTTTACTTGCTGCAGTTTAAGAGGGCATGTGTTCTACTTTCTGACATCCCACATGTGTTAGGACTTTATTTGATGCCCCTTAAAGCTGAATCCCTGTCAAACAGCTAAATATACAGTTTAAATACTTGTATGTGAACTATCTTACCTGCCTAAAGATTCGCCAGACATTGTAGCCAAGCCATGGGCTTCCAATGCTGTTGAGCAGTAAAACCTCATCCAGGATACAACCCCAGTCTGCAGTGACAATGAACGAGAAGCATCATACATATAGGTCACAACTATGTTGACACTGTGCTCTCCTTGAGTCCGCAAGGTCCAAGTGTTAAGTAGAGTACACACGATACAAATTTTGGCTGTTTCCTGATGAACCAGCCGAAATTCGCAGGGTGGGTGCCGCTGTTGGCACCCTTCCGCTCAGCATCCCTTGATTTACCTGATTAAAGGACCAGGTTGGGAAATTCTTGGCTGAATGGAGCTGGAAGCCAATGGGACTACAATGCAAACAACTCGGGATTCGTCCATCAACGCTCAAAAGCGTTGATGGAGAAACCTGTTCAATTTTTTTTTCATTCAGCCTGCGGGACAAGCAAACAAAAAAATAGACGTGTATATCCGACTTTAGATTGTGAGCACTGAGAAATACAGCAGAGCCTAATTAGCATTGGCCCTCCTTTTATTTGTAAGTTCTGTTATGCAAAGGATTATACTGTTGTTGGCTGCGTTAAAGTCACATTCAGGTACTAGGTGTATTTAAAATATAGCTGTACAATTTGGGGTTTTTATATTTGCCTGAAATGTAGCTCCAAATATCCTTGGTTACCTACGATATATGAGATCGTGCTGGGATCTTTAGTGTCAGACCTGGGTAGTTATCTATTTTACAAAATTACACACTCTTCAGCTGCTGGAAAGCCCATATCAGTGTAAAGTTTGTCTTTTAGTTTTGGTGGACTGAGTATAAAACACTGAGGGTGCTGATGGGACTTCTGTCATTTAAAAGCAGTGTGGGTGCATAATCAGAATGATGTGTGTTGAAGTCTGGAGGAGAGGAAATTATTGGGTTCGGAAAGGTAGCCCCTCATTATCCTAACATATTAGCTTTTGTTTAAGAATTAATAACAATTTTATCATTTTATTATTGTCACAATACAGCAAACAAGTTTACCATTTCTCAGCATTAATTGATATCATTCTAATGTTAAAGGATGGAGCAGATAAAATGCTTCCACTTGATCAACTGAGCCAGAAACTGCTGGAGCACACAGGGTCCTCCTGGAATAAGGTCTATAGGAAGAAGCATGGAGCCCTTCGCAAGGTACTGAAGTCTAAAAAAGCAGCAACACGTTGAAAGTGGGGAAACATTAGCTAAAACAGGAATACACTGGGAGGCTTAATCTCATTGACAATCCGGTGAAGGAGCATTAGAAGCCAAGATGGTAAAGAGCACACTGAGGGGCTGATTTACAACTGTTCTGCCCAGTTATAGCTGGGTGAATGCCAGTTGCACGGCCCTACCCCCACTAGATTTTCAGCAGCATCTAGTGGAAGTGCCGTCTGAATGGCGTTTTACCCAGCTATACACTGGGCAGAAGAGTTAAAAATCAGCCTGTAAGTGAACAAAGGGGAAATGCACTGCAACTCTTCCAGAATGGTAACACACTGTGTGGGGGCTGAGAATCTAGCTTGACCGTAAAGAACTTCCACTGACATAAGAGTCTGTCAGTGGAGGTACTTTCTCTCAGGCAGCACTCTTGGTTCCCACATGGTCTATCACCATCCCAGATGAGTTGCATTACATTTTCCCTGGGTTCACTCAGTGTCCTCTTCAGCAGGTACTTTTGCCAGCTTGTGAGAGGTAATCTGATCATACACTTCTAGAATTTTAGCCGAGCCCTGCTGGCTCTGCTTAACTTCAGTCAGTGTGTGACCCTGTCTGCACCCCTCCTTTCGACAAAAGTAGATAATTTTTTTTCAATCGCCTTTTGTTGAAATTTTTAGTCGAACAGTGACAGCAGCTAGTCAGTTGCAGTCACTGTTCTGGTATTCTGGCAGCAGTACTCCTTTCGCTGTCAGAAGACAATAACCTGGGTGGGGGTGGGGTGGATTTCATTTCACCCATCCACGCATCAACGCTGTTTACTTATGTGTATGGCCAGATTTAGATTTTACATCTGCGAGATGTGACCTGACACCTGATGGGATTTGCTATACCTATGAATAATAGTTTATTAAAAGGTAATCTGCATTATCTAGTGCACTCTGTTTGCTTTCTTTTAACTCTTCCCCATTCTTCTCCTTTAAAAAGAAAATGGAATTGTCAATATTGCATCTTTGTATTCATCAATAACAGGAAAACAGTTTAAATGGAATGTATTCTAAATTTAAAGGTTCATATATTTATTGCCACTTCAACTAAAATGTTCCATTCAGAAGTCTTTCCTAAATACTAATTAATTTTTATTTTTATTACAGTTCCTGCAGCATCATCCCTCTGTCTTTCAGCTAAGCTCTGATGGCTCTTTGGTGGGGCTATCTCATACACAAAATGCCACTGATCCTCAGTGTTGTAGGCCAAGCAGTTCAGGAAATGTCCAAGCTCCACAGAGAGGTGCTAGTCACTGGTTTGACTTCAATGACTCCACAGTACAGTGTATCCAGGAACGAGAAATTGAAAAACAATTCCAGGGAAAAGAGAGTGCATATATGCTCTTCTACCGCAAAAGCCAACTACAGAGACCTAAAGAAGGTGGGTCTGTAATAGGTATTTTCAATTAAACGACAATGCAATGCAATACAAGCACCCTTGCATACCTATAATAAGCTCACAAGGGACCTGGCATCCCCAAAACCCTTTTGCCAAGAAAGTAAAAGGCCAGCCCACCACATTCTGCCTACAGCAACTACCTTTTGTCACCCTCAAGTTGAAGAGCTGGTAGAGAGTATTGGGAGGAAACAAGCCACCTTTAAACTTTCTAGGCAAAAATCAGGATATCTGAGTTCCCATGACTTCGGGGGTCTTATGCTGCTCCTAAAATTAACAAAAGGTGCCCCTGCATAGCACCAAAGCAATAATATAAAATGGTTAAAACAAAAATAGGTTAACCTATGAGATATTGTGGCTCGTTGTAGTGCTTATTATAAAAAAAACTATTGCAACAGAAAAAAAGGTTTTAAAAGTTATAAACTTTAAAAGCCATGCGTATTCCACCAGGTGGACGGTGAGGCTGTCACTGCTGTCCATATTAAATTGCTGACTGTCATCCATTGGCTTTAGTAGTTTCTGGGGCACTAATAGAGATCTGGACTTTATAATTGCATGCTTGTTCCAGTTCAATTACTGAGAAAGTTATAAAGCCAAAGAAAGACAAGCAGCTACTTTTCCTAATATGAAGTCAGTCATAGCCCTCCCATAATGTTCCTCATATGGGTTTTCTTTTATTCAGTTCTAAGTTCTTCTGATCCTAGCAGAATGCTGTACAGTATTACCACCAATTTAATTCTACATTGTTGTAATTGGAGAATTTAGAGGTTTAAAGTTCGGCTCTTCTTAAATGGTATCATGGTGAAAATGGTTTGAAGGAAAAGCCAAAAAATATTTCATTTTGTAGGCAAGAAAGGAAACAAGAAACCTTTTTTGTTCATTAATCCATTCTATCCAACCTGAGGGCTCAGTATTAGCTGGAATAGTCTTTTTAAGTGCATCAAAATCTCTTTGTAATAAAGTTTTATTTGCAGCTAAAGGCAATGCACAGTTTGGAGTGCCTGCATACCTCATACACCAGATGAACCAGATAAATGAGGAACTACAACAGAAAAGGTAAGTTTGCCTCATACTTGTACATAACCTTTTGAACAATTTGTATATAATGATTTCTTCAATCTACCTCTTTTCCTAAAGGATAACTGCAGATCCCTATATCCCCCTACCCCCTGAAAATATTACATGGAATGCCATGTCTTAGAAAAGGTGTTTCTTGGATATACTTTGTCCATCCTGCCCACGGCTGGGTTCACTTCACTTAACTGGGAGATGGCATTTTTGTAATGCTGGACACGCTGGCTGGCTCCACACTAAATCCAATTTTTTTGAAAAGCCCAGCATCTTGATGATGGCCAACGTACTGCAAATACTGGTTTCTGGGATTGAGAAGTACTACTCACCCATGGTCAAGTCAGACAACATGCTACTTAATATTTTACAGATGGGGACAAGGGGTACAAAGGAAAATAAACTTGTTCTAGGAGAAATAGATGATCTCTCCTGATACTGGCTACCTTGCCTTTATGTTGATCCTCTGGCTGCTATACTTCACAAGCCTGAAACTTGACCTCTGTTGCTGCGTGCTGCCTCTAGGTCAGTGACTCAGAATGCAGTGAATCCAGAGACAGCCAGACAACTAACATTTTCAGGAGGGGATCAGCAGTCGGCTCTCATTTTGTTCTTCTTCCTTTAAGTATTGTAACATGATTAGTATAGCTACATATGTACACAGTGCTTTCTCAACCTTTTTTTTCTACTGTGGCCCCACTATTCAGGTCAGAGATAAAGAAGATCAACACATACACATATGGGCTGTAAACAGAATATATGTTTTGTATTTGTAGTAATTGTGGTAATGCAATTTACAATACAAAAATACCTACAAAAGTTTACTCTTAACATAAGTTACTAGACAATTAATATGGCCCTTGAGCTGGGTGCAGAGATTGCATTTTATGTCACTTCCGTCACAGGAAGTAATGAAAAAAAATCAACTCTGTTCACTATGTCCAGATGTTTGCACATTTCTGTGCACAGATAGCTGACTTGAAATCTGTTTCTACCAAGTGTGACCTGGAAAATACCATGACAAAGCTTTCCCTTCTACAAAAGATGTGGAAAGATTTTGTAAATTGCACTGTGTACCCAAAAATAATGTTTCTCGTTAAAAACTTGCTGTAGCGTTTATATTGCTCTGTAGTTCGATAAACACTGCAAGGTCAACATCGGCAGCATGCATCACAAATTAATCAGTATAACAGGTATTCACAGTAAAATATGATTTGCTTTTCTTGTGCCCCCTTGCCACATGACATGGTCCCCCTGTTTTACCACTGCTTTAAAGTACCTGCCAATGACAATACTTGTGGAATTCATTTATTAATTATATTTCATGAAGATGGTTACAATTTCACTGTAAAATAAGCATTTCATACAGCTATATGTTAAAAAATCATATATGATTTGGAATTTACATCAACAACCTCTGGAACTACAGTTTCTAAACCATATTCCGTTTGCAATGTATAAAAAGGGCTGTAAAAAAGCCTTAATAAATTCTGACTGGCCACAGTCTTTGGACTATTTTGGGTAACTACATTTTAGTTAGATGTAAATGTAAAAAAGACCATTTTTGTTATATTTGCATTGTTCACCATTCATATCCTTTATTGAATTGTATAGAGCTATAAATGTTTTACATTAAGCTAAGCTTGTGATTTTGTTACATTTGGGATATTTCAAAGAATATTACACAGTCCAGAAATTGTGAATTTCCTTTTAATTATGAAGCCAACAAAATTGATATTGTTGTTGACATCTTTCATCCATGCAGGAAGGATGCTGACTCAGAAGCCCATCGAATGAACTTGCATCTTCACCTTTCATCTTGCTATCATTTTGAAAATGGTGCTCTGCACCCTACAGTCTCCCAAGCAGACAGCACATTGGAGATAAGTGTAGATCGACGAGGGACTGTGGCAGATCTGAGAAGAACAGTTTTCAAGGTGATCTCATTTCCAACATGCAGGCTCATTAAACGGCTCACGCACCCGTTTCCTGTTATTTGAAATCAAATTGGGGGCCACTTAGGTGCAAGGCTCTGCAACCTGAGCAGGTAAATAATCTGTGCTGCATGAAAAGAAAATAGAGCTGTCATTCAGGCACAGCAGTGGTGATTGCCAGACATTGGTATGCACATAGAAGCATCCCTGTGCATTTTCTTCCGGCCAGCATCAATATTTGCTCTTTTATGTGCTGTGCATGCGTAAAAGTTCCACTTAAGCATACAGAGGAAAGGAGCCTGCCAAGATTATCAAATCTAGTAAATCTGCACCCTTTTAAGTGGTTATTAGTGAATGTACTGCTACCTGCTGACCAGTAATGTATTTAGTTATACTGTGTAGCATAGTAAAATGCTACTTATCTCTTGTACCTCTATATACATCTCTTTAAAATCTAGCTTTTATTGGAGCCATATAATAGATTTAATCAAAGTGCCAGTTTAGCAGAAATGTAAACCATTGTCATCTGATCAGTGTAAGTCGCATGCTTGTCACGTGATCGAAAAGATAGTGAAAACTTTACACATTAGTCTAATGTTAAACTAGTGTAAGGTTGTCGTCAACAATCAAATGCAATATAGTGTTTGTGTGTATGTATATTAATATACATTTTAATATATATATATATATATATATGTGTGTGTGTGTATGTATATATTAAAATTGTTATTTCTTCACATAAAAACAACCTTTAATGTAAACTTGGTGAAATCAAAGTTAGAGTTGTTATTGAACATTTTACCTTATTATTACAGCTTCTGGACGAGGCATTGGAAGGACAAGTGCTGAGTATTGCCAAGTTTTTGCCAGCAGGGTTACATATCTTTGACAATATGTGTGGTGAGTGTTTGAAAGAAATCAGTAATTCTGTCAAACTGTCATTGCTTGAAATACAAAATTTGGCTTATTGAGAAAGCCTTAGCAAAACAAAATATAAACTAAATCTTACCTCTTCCCCATCTTCTGTCCTAATGCCCGATTTATTTTCTATGGCTATGCAATATTTACTGGTCATCCGTTGAAGCTCCTTTAAGCTGAACACATGGACATTGTGGGATCTGTGATTTGAGCCACTAAATCTCTTGAATATCACTCTTTGACAGTGGCCATATGGCTTACTTGACAAGTCTGTGTTTGGCTGGCAACAGCTAAAGGAGTCTTCTAGTTGTTGATTGGTATGTACTGCATAGCTTTGCCTATTGGATTTGATTGTAGGGCTGCAGGAAAGGGGGATTTTAAAGGGTTAATAGTTTGGTTTTATATTGGGCTTTAGATCCTCTTAAAGTTAGTAATTAGTGAAGATTGTTTTGAAATAATTTGATCCATGTTTGTGTGTAGAAATCTATGAGCTGATTGTCAATATAAGAGACGTGTTCTTGGAGTACAGTGAGCATGTTCCTGCTGTTACACTCGAGGTGTTTATATTGGCTTAGGAGACAGTAATATTTTCAGTGTGCAGTAGTTGAATTGGTATTATTTAATTACATGTTTCCTCAGATGATGAACAGACTTTGTCAAGAGCAGGAATTAAAGATGGATGTGACATATTTGTGTGGGATGGAAAGCAGGTATGACTCAAAATGACTGAAAATCAGTAGAAAAATAGCTTTTACTTCTCGTAATGCTTTTGTTAAGAAAGAAAAGACAAGATGTTCGCTGGTACTATTATACCTTTTATGTTGTTCATATAAACATAACTCAATACAGGCAATACACACACATTTGTTGTGGTTTTTGTTTTCCTTTTTTTTAAATAAATTATTTTATTAGTATTTTGCATAACACAATATGCACATGGACACCCACACACGTGAGGGCACACAAACTTGGATTACAAACAATAATTTTCAGCTTATTACAAGAAGACCTAAATTAACCCCCTTCCTCCTGAAGTCCCCAACACAATACAGCCAGAACCTCAAAAACCACAATCTATGGGTATAAAATGAAGGAAGAATGGCATAGAGGGTTGGTTATACATTTTGTTATTTTTAAAGAGGTGAATGGTGTGGACAGAAGACAAGAATATAGTTGTCTGCAGTTATCTTCTTTGACAGGCGAGTAGAGAGGATCCCGACAATATTCTCGGACTGCTTCTCAGCAAGGAGCTTAGCCCCACCTACAGAATATTATATTGAATTGCAAGTACAGTCATGGCCAAAAATATTGGCACCCCTGCATTTTTGTCAGATAATGCACCACTTCACACAGAAAATGTTTGCAATTACAAATGTTTAGGCATTCTCATGTTAATTCCTTTTGTTTGTATTGGTATGACACAAAATTAACAGCTTTTTGACAAAACAAAAGACAACTTTTTGGTAAAGCCCATCAGTCTACTGTTTTCAGGAAAAAGAGGCCTTTAAAGAAAAAAATACAGTCAAACATGGTGGAGGTTCACTGATGTTTTGGGGTTGCTTTGCTGCTTCAGGCACTGGATGTCTTGACTGGGTGCATGGCATTATGAAATCTGAAGGCTACCAAAGAATTCTGGGGTGCAATGTAGGGCCCAGTGTCCAGACAGTTGGGTACCCATCAGGAGTCTTACAGCAGGACAATGACCCAAAGCATGCAACAAAAAGCACCCAGAAATGGTTTCAGACAAAGCGCTGGAGAGTACTCGACTGGCCAGCAATTAGTCCAGATCTGAATCCCATAGAGCACATGTGGAGAGATCTCAAAACAGCAGTTGGGAAAAGGAAGCCTTCCAATCTGAAAGACCTGAAGCAGTTGGCGAAAGAAGAGTGGTCTGAAATTCCTGTAGAGAGGTGTTAGGAACTCATTGATGGTTACAGGAAGTGATTGCTTTCAGTTATTTTTTCCTAGGGCTGTGCTACCAAATATTAATTTAGGGTGCCAATAGTTTTGTCCAGTCCCATTTTTTGAGTTTTGCGTAGAATGTGTCAGATTTGGCTTCTTTTTTTTTCCTCCACTTTTTTGTGTCATGCTAATACAAACAAAAGAAATAAACATGAGAATGCTGAAACATTTGTAATTACAACAGTTTTCTGCGTGTAGTGGTGCATTATCTGACAAAAATGCAGGGGTGCCAATATTTTGTATCATTAGGAAACAAAAAAAGGTGTACCCTTTAGTTCTCCTTTTAAAATACATGTGTTTTTTGTGTGGCGTGGTTAATAGATAAAGAAACAAATGGACCTCTCCTCTAGATTGTCTTTAAAGCTATAAGAAGATATGTTTGTGATCTATTTGTTTGATCCTGTGTTTTTGATTTTATTTTTGCAACTGTACAGAGTATATTTTTTCCCATGTTACTATTTTTGTGTCTCATTGTGTAACTGTCATGCAGGTTGGTGGTCTTCCAGTACACAGCGGTCCAGACTGCACACCAGTTATTTTAACCATCATGCGGTCACGTAAAGACCAGAACAATGACTCTTCACCAAAGTACTTGGAGAGCCACAGAGTTTTCCCATTGAATTTCCATTTGAGAGACGTGCAAAACACGTTGGCTGGTAGTCCCTCACTGGAGTCACTGTTGTGCTCTCCGTCCACAGAGAATAGTGAAGGCTGGAGTGTTTTTGCCATAGAGGACATGGACAAAACCCTTAACATGCTGGGACTTAAAGACGGAAGTTCTTTGCTGCTGTTAGATTCCATTGATCAAGGGTAAGCGTTTAGCTGCCTGTACATTTTTTTTTTCCCCAAGTTTTTTTTATTGAGAGTCAATCTGCTGTAGTGATTTATCTTTAGTTTTTGTAACAAAGATTGTGTGTGTGGTCGTTTTTTTGTGCTGACCCCTGCCCTAATATATGGGATGCAATCTCCTACTATTTAAAAATGGTTATATCACAGCACTGCCTATCTTTTAATATATATTTCAAGTAACAATGCCTGTGTGTGGCTAGTCTTACCATACACGACATATAAATCTTTTTTTCAAATTACTGTGATTTGTTCTTTTGTAGTTACTTTATATCATAAGCAGTATTGCATTCTGCAGATTTCTTTGAAAAATAGTTTAACGACAACTGGAATTACCTTGTATTTGCCTTTCAGAGAATTGGTTCTGGCCACAGAAAACAAGTCAGCTGAAGATTTGAACCTTTACTGCATTCAGCTCCAGGATTGGTGTACGTCTGCAGAGGTGAAGAAGACTGCTCAAATATCTACAGATCCTGATTCTGTAAGTAACTAATGATACCATGTGCTTGGTAAAACACATCTGCTTTTCTCCACTATGGACCATCTTTTGGTATTATAACAAAGTTAGCCTTTGGTGGAGATTGGAAAATCAGTAGCTGGTTGTAGCATTTTAACAAGAAGTCAACGTAGAAGGCAGATGGCTCAAGGGAGAGGAAGGGGAACTTAAAATTAAAGATAAAAGTTTGAATTTGGCATTGGCACATCTGGATTGTGTGCAGTAGGATTAATCATATATTTACTTTTATTTGAGTTTTTATTTTATTTGTGATATGATAGCAGCAAAAAGAACCAACAATACTATTTGAAGAAGGTAAAATAAAAGTAAACGAAGTAAAACTTCAGTCAAAATGCTTTTTATTTTCAGATCAAGTGCGGAAAGGTTAGGACCTTTTTGACAGGTTTTTAATTACCATCTCTGAACTAACAGACGGCAATAACAACAGGACATAGGTTCTGCCCTCCCCCACTTGAACTAAAACTGTTGTCATTGGGGTTCCCCTCTAAATCTATTTGTAAGAGCAGAGTAAATACATTGTACCAGAGAATAAATATTTCTGCTTAGTCATAAGCTGGCTATGCACCAGTAGAATTTTGTTAGATAAAATTTAGTTTTCGGTTGATGTGGTTAAATCGCTAATCAATTTCAACCACTGTGACAAACAAAATAGAAGGAGCGTATCATGAAAATGCCCCAGAATACGAAGATTAGGTCAGCAGAGGCACCCCGGACAAATCAGATGAAGTCTAGGTACTTTATTGGTGGTTAATAAATCTTTCTTGAAGGGTATATACATATGACATCCTCAACACATTTCATTGCCCTAATGTGGCCACTAATTCAGGATGGTGTGAGTAGACACAGAAGGAGTTGGATGGACATGTTTTTTCTCAAACAAATGAAATTCTAACAGTGAGTCAGACATTTTTGTAGCGCTGTATGAATTGAGAATGAGAAACGCACAGGTTGGCAACAATAGAGACTGGCATAAACCCTAAAGACAGGCAGCGCTTTGAGAGTGGATACTCTTATGCTGGTCACACATGGAAATTTTCACACAGTTTCAATCAATTCCAACCGACTGCCAATCAGTCAAATAGGCAAACGTAAACTACCACCAAAGGTTTTTAACGCCTTAAAATGTTATATAGTGTTTGGTGATAGTTTACTTTGATCACTTTGGTTGTTTTTAAGCTTATAAGCTGTATTGAAAGTGGTGGAAATTGCCTGATAATCTCTGTGTGTGTGGCTAGAATTATGCTAGCCTATTAATAGACAGAATTGTGGCAATTTCAACTGCTTTCAATTGCAAAAAACATGCGAATGGATCAAGGCAGTTCTGATCATTTCATGTTTTCAGTAGTAACTGCTGGTGGTAGTTTGCCTTGATTTAATCAGATGCTTTTGCAATTAATAGTAGTGTATTTTCAGCATAAATGTTTGGGACGAGTGAAGAATGTGCATGTCTTAATAAATGCTCCTTTTTTTTTTCTTCTTTTACTGTTTTGTATCTACAGGCTGTGTCCTGTGTACACCAGAAAGCTGTTGAATTATTGGAATTGCAAGAGCATATTGGTAAGAATTTTTCTAGCACTGTTATATGCAGCACATTCTGAGAGAACGAGTCCAGGCAAATACATAATCACAGTGGGTCACAGTGGTAGCGCAGATCCTCGTTCTCAAAGATGCAGGACCATGCAGAGGGTGAGGCATTGCTGCCATCACCCACTCTCCATGTGCATTACAGCCTAAGTATATGGTAGTAAATGTAAACGCAAGAAAACTTCTGACCATAAGCAGCATGGAATGGGAAGATGCATCTGTGTTTGTGTTCCCTAAAAAGTGAATAAATCATTTGCTGGTATGCTTTCATGTTCATTTGGCACACAGCAGCTTCAAGTGAATATTAGGCAGGGGAAGTGACTGCTTTCTAAGTTGATAAAATAAATAGAAGAAATATCGTGGACTAGTCCAGATATGAAGTGTTCAGAGTTGCCGACTATGCGCAGTGTGGTCATCCTCTTTATGCTGTGCAGCCTTTTAGTATAGCAGATGTGGATGAATTAGAAGTGTATAAATGTTGCAAACATGTGTAAAGTAAAATAGTAACTACAGGTATGTATGTTTTTAGGTTTGCATTAGCTGTTTGCCTTGAGTCAAATAAAGAATGTGTTTCTATTATACTGTGGACTGTGTGCAAGAAAAACGTTGTATATCTTCTCTTAGGTGATACCTGCCTGAGACCCATCCACAGAACTGGAAGAGTGCTTCCTCCAGGTAAAGTATTAAGAAGCTTAAATTGGTAAACTGAAATATACAGTACTGTGCAAAAGTTTTAGGCAGGTGCTAATGATGTAAAGTAAGAATGCTTTCAGAAATAAAAGTGTTAATAGTTAATTTATATCAGTTAACAAAATGGAAAGTAAATGAACAGGAGCAATCCAAATAGCATCAATATTTGGTGTGACCACCCTTTGCCTTCAAAACAGCAGCAATTCTTCTAGGTACACTTGTACACAGTTTTTGAAGGAACACGGCAGGTAGGTTGTTCCAAGCATGGAGAACTAACCACAAATCTTCTGTGGATGTAGGCTGCCTCAAATCCTTTCGTTCTCTTCATGTAATACCAGACAGATCTGATAATGTTGAGATCAGGGCTCTGTGTGGGCCAAACAATCACTTCCAGGACTCCTTGTTCTTTTTTTACGCTGAAGATAGTTCTTAATGACATTGGCTGTATGTTTGGAGTCATTGTCCTGCTGCAGAATAAATGTGGGGCCAATCACACACCTCCCTGAGGGTATGGCATGATGGATGAGTATCTGCTTGTATTTCTCTGCATTAAGGACACCAAATCTCCAACTGCCATACCCTCAGGGAGATGTGTGATTGGCCCCACATTTATTCTGCAGCAGGACAATGACTCCAAACATACAGCCAATGTCATTAAGAACTATCTTCAGCATAAAAAAAGAACAAGGAGTCCTGCTGCATTTCTGCAAATGGAGTTGAAGATTTGGTCAGGATCAATGGTGGCTCCCTTAAACCCTGCAGTTCCTGTGCGGGAGTGTGGAATACAAATCTCAATGCTGTTATTGCTTTGAGCAAACTAAATAGTATGCTTCAGTCATAAAGTTTTTAAGTTTTGGGGAAACTAGCGGCTGCTCCCATCACAGTGTGAGCACATATGTTTGCACTGGGTCCGTTAAAACATCTTTGGTTGACTTTCACTAGTACATCTGACCTGCAGTTAGTGTCTATGGCCAGCGGTAGATCTGTTACAGACATAGGTATTTTTTTCATGACTAAGATCTGCTGTGGGCAGCTATAAAATTTTTTTGTGTTTGTGTGTTTGCAGTACCTGAAGAAGTCACGATGCAGGAGGCTGAACTTAAACCTGGAAGCACCTTGGGAGTGTTCAGGGGGAGAGCACCTGGTGGCTCAGAGGTGGGTATTGGAACCTACAGCAGCCCCTTATTGATCATTAACCACCTCCGGGCCGGCCCGGAGCTCTCTAGATCTGAGCGGGCGTCTTTAGACGTCCGCTCAGACACGCCCCCTCGCGCGCTCCGGAAACGGACGAAATTTAAAAACAGGCAGCGATGCCTGTTACCATACAAGCAATCCGCCGGCTGTAGAGCCGGCGGATCGCGTGTATGGGTTGCCGATCGGTTCCCCCCCCCCCCGCCGTTGTCCCGCTGATCACGGGCTCCGCTGTGCCCGGTGTGAGCCTGGGATCAGCAGGTCGCCTGTGTCACAGGGGATCAGAGGGAGCTCGGTACACGAGCTCCCTCCGGTCCCCTCTCCTCTGCAAGAATGCGGAAGTGTTGTATAATACATCACTTCCGCATTCTTGTGTCACTCTACAGCTTCAGAAGCTGATGGAGCAGATCTCTGCTTCATCAGCTTCTTTTGGGGGGTCCTAGGTGACATTAGGGGTCTTGGAGACCCCTGATGTCTCCATAAAGAGGACCTGTCACATATTTTGCTATCACTTAGGGGGTTTTTATTAGCCCCGTATGCGATAGCAATAAAGCTTAGTGGGGGAAAAAAAAAAGGAAAAAAAATCCCCCCCAAAAAATTAAAAGTTACACATAAAGAATAAAAAAACAAAAACATTTTTTTTAGTCCCCACCCATACATACACGCATGCGTGCAAAAAAGGCGATTGCGCCCATTACGCCGCACATGTTACATATCGCCACGAACGTTGCAGTGAGAGCAATAAGCCTAGTGCCATCAATCACTGATAACACTAAACTGATGAGCGGTAAAAGCTTTTAAAGTGTCGCCTGTGGGAAATTTTGGGTATGGTAGTTTTCTGCGATTTCGCGGGTGCTCGCAATTTTAAAGCTTGACATGTTTGGTGTCTATTTACCCGACGTGACCCCGACTTTTATATTTTACCAAAAAACTGGGTAATAAATGTTTCCTAACATAATGTAAAAATAAAAATGTTTTTTTCAAAATTTTCTGTAATTTTTCATAATTTATAGTAAAAAATAAAAACCCCAGTGGTGCTTAAATACCACCAAAATAAAGCTCTATCTGTCCCCAAAAAATGGTATAAAATTAATTTCAGTACAGCGTTGCATGACGGAATAAACTTCAGTCAAAGTACTGCAGCGCTGAACACTGAAAAATGGCCTGGCCAGGAAGGGGGTCTAAACACCTGGTCTTGAAGTGGTTAAAGAACACAACTTTCCCAACTCAGTCACCTAACTCCCACATTGTATGTTGTTTTATATCCAATTTTTCTGATTGACAGCTCAAGCTTATCTCACTGTCCCTGCATTTTCCAGATGCAAGCAAAGTCACAAGGATGAAGAGGGAGGGGGAACACTGTCACAGGGATAAGCACAGGCACAAGGACGGGAAGCGGAGCCTTGTCTTGTGTTTGGAAAGTGCAGGGACAGTGAGATGCCCACTGCAACACACATTTCTACAGTCTTGGGATGAGAACTTGCCTCAGAAAACCATTGTTTTGCCTTCACCGTTGATCTGGTTCAGAAATACACAGGTCACTGCACATGGTGTGAACAAGCCCTAACTTATGCATGGTGCATTGCTGTGTGTTAAAGTAAGGGATTGGTGTAAATGGGCCCTGAGTGTTGTTATTGTTATGTAGCTTAATAAATAAATGATAGTATGCTTCCCGTACATCCACAGGTCTTCCTGTCCTTTGTTCTTGGCACTGAACTTCAGGAAGGACAAGAACAAGAGATTATACTGGAAGAAACACTAACAGTGAAAGAGGTATGTGCGCCTAAAAAACAACATTCCACAGTGGAAACATGTCCATCTCTTTTAACACGCTGTCATTTTTTTAACATTATAAAACGTTATAAGTTTGAGGTTTTGTATAGAATATTGTTCTGTGGCACTTGTTCTAGTTACTGTATATAACATAAAGCAAAGAAAATTAGAGGTATAGCTCTTGGCAACCAGTCACCAGTTACCAGTCTGTAAATAAATAAACAGGTACACATCAGTCATAGTTCCAAAATAAGCTCTGAGATGCATACAGTGAACACGACTAAAGGCTCATTCATACCAGTGTATGGGTGTTTCCTTGCAAGGCACTGTTTACCTTTTTTTTTTTCTTAAACTTTACTGAAATGTCACACAATGCCATTTTTTTCATATCTCTGCATCTTGTGAGTGGCACTTGAGGTGCAGTACATTGTGAAAAAATGCAGCATGTTTGCATTTTATGCATCGCAACCTACCTCACTGCATCATGGTGGTGTGAACAAGGCACATTGAGAACAGTTTTATATATGTACCCTAGCACTGAGCCTTTGATGATCTGTACAGATTAAAACCGATCTATGTATATGGTGTGAACGAGCACTAAAGCTTGGCTTCTAGGCATTGTTGTTGTGTATCTGCTCACACTTGTGCACTGTATTTAGTTGGTCATCTGGTGACATAATTTGCTTAACTGTGTGTAATGTTTAATTAAACTAATCAGTAATTCAGAGTAAAGGAATTGCAGCACTCTGAGGTCATCCTTCCACTCTCTCTTCTCATGTAAGCAAGTTTCCTGTGTTAGAATGACAACACTGCAGTACTGACCCTCCTACTGTTGTTTGGAGGATTGCAGGAGGCTAATATCAAGAAAGATTCAGGAGCTTATGCTAGTTTTATGTAAGAATACTGAGATTAACCACCTCTGCGTCTCCTGGATGCGGGTGGGCGTCTTTAGACGTCCTTCGTGCCCGCGCCTGATCTCGCGCGCATGAGCGGGGAGTCGCCAGGATTTTAAACGGCCAGCGATGGCCGTTTACATACAAGCGGTCCGGCGTCTGTAAAGACGCCCGATCGCTTGTATGATGCAAGTCAGGATGCGCCCCCTCCTTAACTCTTCTCGCCACTGCTGTCCCTGCTGCCACCGTGTGCTAAATGCCTTTGCAAACAGTTGTTACCTTGTAAAATTAACAGTGGCATCATTGCTGTGCTGCACATTTTTTTGGTAACCTTTGCCATGATTCTCTGATTAATTTTTTTAATTTAATATTTTTTTTCTATTTTTTTTTCATTGTACGTTCATTATGGTCTGTATTTTTTCCTTGTTCCTCTGTCTTTTTGTGTGCTGTAAAATTCATTTTCGCTTATTTTTTCCTAAAACTTCAGATCTTAGCATGTATGTACAAAAATTACAAAATAGCTCTGGTCCCAAGGTAGTTAAGCAAATATAGGCACATCTATTACCAGAACATAAGCAAAATGAGCTAGGTTGAGGACAGTACTAAAGTTCAGGGAAGGTCACTGTGTACTTGTAATGCTCTGAATTATCTAGTGATGCTTTGGGCAAATTGTCTGATTTCAAGGTTTATGGGGGTTGCTATCTCTCGATCTCAAAAGAGATTTTTTTCTATTTATTTCAGTGCTTACAACGGATGCTTCAGGAGGCGAGTTTACCAAGTAAGAAGCTATGGGTTTTTTTTTGTATTTTTTAAAAGGAAATTTATATTGGTTTTTGGGTCAATTTTATTCCAATTTCATTAAGATTATAATTTATAATATTTGATAAATTACTGATTGACTTTGTTTTGCACTATATGTTTTACAAATAAACATTTAATAAATGAAGATGATTTCTAGAGTACTACGGATTTTCTGAAGAGGTAGCACAGCAGTGGTTCCCTGCTTTCAGGCTTACTTTGTTTGACTGAAACCTACAGAGTGAACAGATGAGAAAAGAAATCATTGCTCTGAGGGGTTTTACAACAGATTGAAGAAGAGAGATGAACAATGAGTGCCCCATTTGCTGCCTGGATATAAAACTGCATAACATACATATGCAATGTTTCTTCAAATATTTGAAAGAAAAATGTGTATTTTATTGTTTTCTTTTTTTAAGTCTTTATCATGATAAATATTCACTGTACATTACCTTTAAAGGAGAATTATGAGGTGAGTGATTTTCCCTCAGCCTCATAATCTGAGCCGGCGTGTGACAATGAAACTGTCACAGGTCCGCTCAGTAGATCGGGAAGTGAGCAAACGCATACCGTCGCTCGCTCACTTCTCGATCTATCCCTGCAGAGAGCTGTGACTGTCACGGCTCCCTGCATGGATTCCCCCCCCCCCCCCCCCCCCCCCCCTCTCCCCACCCTCGCCCGCG